TGCTTTTATTTAAAAACACACCATATATACACTGAAAACAAAGGTTGGCCTCAATCTTTTTGATTTATGACAACTTCTAATGAAACTATGTTCAACAAATGTACTCCAATGAGTTAGGGGAATCAGCTTTTCTTCTACAATCAAAAGGTATTTTTAATGATCGATAACTATCGCAAAACTGTACTGTGTGGGTTTATAAATAAAAATAATAGTCTAAACTTAAAATGTATAGACTTTATTCAAATAACAACAAAATTGGAAGCAGCCCTGTGTAATGGTACAATACAATTCAGGAATTTACTTTGGTAATAACATGAAGACCATTGACAGTTACAGGACAAAGAAAAGCATCAAATCCTCACATTTAAGCAAACGTTACTTATTTTTCTGTCAACCAACTAATCGATTATTCGAAACATCGTTGCAGCTCTTAATTGTTATCAGCTATGTCATCCTGTCTGAATTTTCCACGTCTGTTGTTCTAGAACCAAAGAAAGTCACAAATACAGAACAGATTCACATCATCTCAAAAGTTGATGAATTTGGCAGCTTTGTGCACGATGTGAGAAAACAGGAAATTGATGCATTTTCTTCAATAGGTATCCACTCCTAGAAAATATTTAAAAACTACTAGGAGCTGTAGCACCGGCCAAACCACAGCACCAAGGGATGAATTCCTGCTCTGTGCTTTCATCCAGAAAACGAAAGACATCTACACAACTAAAGTCAAAGACAAGGGGGGAATAAATTACTATATATGTCCTCCTAATCCTTTTCAAACATATACGATTTAATTAGTTTTGTTTATGAAGATGTATTCATTTAGTTTGTATAAAGGTTTATCATTAATTTCATTTTAATGTTATTTTGTCTTAATCTTCAATACTGACCTTTTAAAATCTAAACTTTCCTCTTATTGATATGTAAAGAAACCTTAAGTCCTTCCTTCCACTCTTTTTATCCTTTTATTCCAGGCTTTCCCTCTTTCCTGTCTCCTTCCTTTTGTCTGTGTAATCTTTTGCCAATATCGTTCCCAGGCTGCCTTATTGTTGCTTGCAGCGACATTGATGTTTTCCATCTGTAATTTGAGAAAAATTACAGATTCCATACCGCATTTAGTTTTTTGGAAGGTGACTTGCACTATATAAAAATGTAATTATAAGATACCTTCCAGTAGAACCCTTCCAATAGGGCTTACAACTCAAAATAACAATGCAGTGAGATGTTAAGTCTGGAGCTGAAGAAGATACAGTGAATATTTCAAAAGGCACGATGTAAACATTTTAATACCAGTTTAATGCTACAAGAAAATGGATTTCGGGCCAATTTACCAATTACAATAAACAAGTCTGGAGGGAATCAGTCTGATTGAACATGACTAATTACAGTTGTGGAAACTAAATGGGCAGAATGATTGGACTATGTACATCAAAACAGCAAAACATCCAGCAGTGTTTCCACGTCAGGGTATTTCCTGTATCACTACAGAAACTGACTGGCTGAAGAAGGTTCTGTAAGATTTCTGTATTTGCTGCTAAAAAGGAAAGCTCTCTGAGGACAATGAATTACATTTGGGTGCTTTAATGATTCTCCCCTCACTGGAGGTAACGAAACATAAGCCACAACTTGAAAATAAAAATACAAACTTCTTGTGAACAGCAGTGAGCCAGCCCTCTAAACCAGACGTTTGAGGTTTTACTTTTTCTCATTCCTTTGGTATCTTTTAGAATAAGATATCACAAGTGGAGCTGGTAAACACGAGAGTGTGTTGTGTACTTCAGTGTACTGACATCTATTTACACAATTTTGGAGTGAGTTAAATTCTTTTTAAAGTTACCCTCTATTCCACTCAGAACCACCAGTGTGTGCAGAGGTGTTTCTTTAAATAACTTCATGGCTATTCAACTGTAAAACAAGAGCAAAAGATCACATATATCTGGATCTGGGGCCTGTATAAACTGGGTTATGATGTATCTTAGACCTAAATAAAACTGGGCGATGATGTCCTTTAAAAGTGAATTTCTGGTAAATGTGTAACATTTTACAACTGTTGACCTTTATCTGTTAACATGGTTTGTACTTTTCTTGGATGTGTGGCCCTTTTTTGTTGTTTGTGGCACTATCTATAACAGAATTAATGCTTGATTGTTGACCTTTTTCAAACTATTCTTAACCAGTCATTGGTTTCATTGTCAGATGTTACAACTATGATGTTTCTGCTACAGCTCATCAGCTACAAGTGTTATTGAATTTGATTTTTCGGCCTGAGCTTTTGCGTTAGCATATCTGGTTGGACAGCTTTGTAGCGGTTTCAGCCCTGGGGTTGTGGTGTCTCTTAGGTGTCTGATTTTGTTGGCTGTAAAAGTGAAGTACTTCCATATTTGGCTCCTGGCTCGAGTTTAGTCAAGCAGTTAAGATAGACTGGGATTTGGCCGAAGACGTGGTGGACTGTTTGACACTGCTGCCAAGGATTCAGCAGCTTGACCCGAACTGCTGCTGCTGTCCACGGAGCGAGAATGACGCTATGCCTGTTTCAGTTTTTCCGTTCACTACTGCAATCCACATGTTTAAGGTCTTCATAGCTTGATGCAGGATGGGAGTGCTCCTATGGCACTAAATCAGTTAATGAGAAATGGCAAAAGCCCAATCCTAGTACAACAGTACAAGCTGTATGAATGAGGAAACAAGTTCTCTTGTTAAAGAAAGGATATAATTTACATCCACAAAGTAGTTAAAAAAATCAAGGGGGAATAGAGCGTGGGAACATGCACATCCATAAAAAAACTTCTGAATCCAGAATATAAATGCAGGAAACCAAGCAAAACTTCTGTTTTGCTACAGTCTCGAAAAACTTTTCCGCCTTACTTGCTTTGCTGCATTTGCAAATCAAACACAGCTCTGATCTGACACAGCTGACTGACTATGAATCTGATCAGGTTTGCAGAAAGCAGGCCTATTTAAAATGCCTATTGTATCTGCTGTGCATAAACTCCCAAAGAGAGACAACACCAAACATTGTTGAATTATGGGATTTAATTACTTAGGACTGCTATCACTCCCAATATACACATGATGAAAATATTGATAGTCATGTTAAGCCTCATAACCAACTCTAAAACTTACTGCATAGGTATTGATAAAGGTTTCCCACTCAAAGTCAAAGCAAGCTCTCACAAATGCACCAAATTAGCATTTAAACTCAGGGCAACAACACTACTATCTTCTACATCTTCTGCAATCTTGTTTCAAGGATGAAGTTTGAAAACTACTGGTTCATGAGTGCAAGCGGTTGTGCAGTTCTCTCTTTTTTTATTGTCCATCTATTATTCTTTGAATCAGTGTAGTAATATCTTTCATACACACAGAGGTGGTACAGTAGCATACACTATGTCAGCAAGCTGGCAGCTCTGTTCCCAAAGGATCTACCACTCAGCAGGGTGTGAGAGATGGGGGCATGGTGGAGAAAAGATTTGTGAAGAAGAAAAGCTCAAGAGGCTACTTGTCAAAACAATATATCAACCTGACAGCTTTTCTTTTTTTAGGTAGGAAAAAGGGACTGAGTTGGATTAGGAAATATGGTATTCATGTGGAATGAGAAAACATGTTGGAATGACATCATGGAATTCTGGGATTAACCATCGGAACATTGTGGGCCAGAAGCAGCAATGTCAAAATGTCCAAGTATTTGACATTGTTGCTCATATTAAGGTGTCTGCATTGTCCAGCACAAATAAAAAATCTAGTCATGACAATATTTGACATATATGTATAAATATGTTGCTTTGGTGAAGAATTAACTCTGTTGACCTGTTCAGCCTTTAATTTCAGGTCCAACCAAAGAATATGTGGCTGAAGAAACTACACAAATGTCTTTTTATATATATATCCTTGTTTCCTGTCAAGCTGTCCAACCCCATAAAGGCATCTTCAAGCAAGGTCGGACTGACTCAGACTGGAAGTCCTTCACTTCAGTAGATGGTAAATTATGGGCAGTAATAAACTAATGACCCCCTTACAGAAGTCAGAACTTTGTCCAGTGGACACTGGATTTTCAAAACTCTGGCTTAAAAAAATTATGCAAAGTAGAAATCTTTTAGTCCATTGGGATACCCCTAAACATAGAATTTATTTAAAGGTGTTTGAACCAATAGTTTTATATTAACACTGGATCAAAGGACTAGGTGTTGCATAAAAGAGGATTTTTGTCTCTAAAACTCCCTGTTAGTGGCATCTAGTGATGTAGTTGCAGACTGCATCTCCCTCGCTTCACCCTCCCCTTCATTGCAAAAACCATGACAAGCCCTACGTAGAACCAGAGGCACATAAACACAGATGTACATTGTTGGTATTGGCAAAACAGGCAGACTAAACACCTCCCCTTATAAAATATCAGCTTGGAGGTTATGCACTGTTGTGTAGACTTTAATCTCATTAAATTGTTCTAATATTGTTACATTCCCTCACACAGTTCATTTCTAATATAGTTATCTTTCAAGA